TGCACAAGTTAAAGAGAGTCAATATGAACCATGAGTTAGAGGCCTTAATAAGATTACCCCAGATATTAGAGCCTGAATTTTACTGGATAACAATATTGAATGTGATGCTTACACTGTACAAACTGTTATTCATGGAAACGTATAATTCATAGTTTAACTAGACGTTAGTGTTAATGTTGAGATGACTTTATATTTCAGATTTTCATCATTTCAGCTGATGTGGAGCCACTTCAACAAAAGATTCAAGTTAAATTAAGAGTCAAAGGGAGAATGCCTTATAATGAAGTTGGCTCAAATATAAACAGATATATAGAAGTGTTGAAGAACGCCACACAGAGACTGAGTGGGCCGGTTATTGCGACTCGTTGGTTTCAAAATAAAACCAAAGTCTGGAAGAGTTGATTTATTGCACACATTGATGACGATGACAGTGAACAGAAAATATTCAAACCCACTCCACCTCTTTGGCTGCCTCCCACCACACAACTAATCAGATCAAACTACGCCCAAGTGCAAACGACCAGGAATGATATCAAACCCACAGAAGTCGTGAAACATGACAAATAATCAACAGAGGTAAAAAAAACAAATAAAAAAAAAACAAATTATGGCTCCTACAATAGATTTGTGTTTAAAATGATACTCTCGCCAATGTGGCTACATAGAACAGGTGGGGAGCCACGTTTTCAACTCTCTATAGAGACTCCTACTGGTCATCAGGGGAAGTGCATGGACCAATTACAGTACTACCTCCAAGAGAAACTTCCTCTCGGTCAATCCTCTCAGAACTTGAAAATGGACATTTTGTCTGTGATCCTTGTGGCATTACAAGGAGGGATATTTATATTTACATTAATCCTTGATTATAAATGGCCACACATAGCTAAAGGTGAACTGCAACATCTTGTGGAATACTCTCAAAGACTCTTAGCCTATTTAATACCTGGAATCAATGTAATGACTTGAAGAAGCACCTGAATGACTCCAAACACTCCAATGAACTCATGACCTCTGAAACAAGACAAACCTCTCTGTGCACCATTTGAACCTCCTGATTATTTAGTCAATCCCAGCTCAGGCCTCCAAACAACCCTGGCTCTGAATTTTGAGAACCCAAAGAGACATATGAAGTAATTTTCTGCAGCCGTGGATCCCTTGTGGAGAGGCAGCAAGTCACAGAGCGAGACCTTCCGACTGTATCAGAGCAGGTAACTGGGCTGTGCTGAGACCGGGGGGGGACGGCGGTGCAGCGAGGGAATTGCAGCGTTGTTCTCCGAGTCTGAACTCTCAGCCCTTTTTTGCCCAGCCTGTTTCCAGCAGCCGAGGCTTGAAAAGCTCCAAAGTGACGCCTCCATGCTGCTTTAAAAGCTAAGTAGCACAAAGGTTGAACAAGGAGCCGAGAGAAATGTTCACTTAGTCGACATCTGCACTATAAAAAAAAAAACACATAACACTCCACTCTCTGCATGGCTCCTACTTGATTGTCACACAATGCACAGAGTCCGAGTGCCTGCAGTCGCCTGTATCTGTGTGTGTGTGTGTGTGTGTGTGTGTGTGTGTGTGTGTTAAGTCGCACAGCATGTGGGCATTTGCGCAATTCCTTTGCTATATAGTTTAATTAATACTGGCCCGCTCCTGATTTCAGCTTCAAACAGCTCAATGAAAACACGTTTTATTTGTATTATTCTGCTTTAATTCAGAGGCCTCTCCACTGAAGAGGGGGGTGTTGTTAGACGGGAGCAAAGGTAGGTGGAAGGGAGGGTGGGGGTGGGGGTTTCACACTGTGTGAGCTGTGCTGGAGTGATCTCAGTGGGACTTTCTTTCCACCCCAGCGTGCACACTGCTTGACTCTGCAGGACCCATTTGCAGCGTTTGATAATAACACCTTAATGTGACTGCTACGACTGCTGCCAGTGGGACCACCGCGTCTGTTACTCCCAGGGGAGAGAGAGAGGAGGAGAGGAGAGGAGGGAGGGAGGGAGGGAAGGAAGGGAGGGGAGGGAGGGGTTGAGGGAGGGAGCCAGAAACCACAGAGACCTCAACGTCTGACTTGAAGTCACAATGCTGCGTCGAGGCCCAGCCAAACCACGTCTGCCAGGTTTCTAAAAACACGCTGCCAACAGAGTCAACATGGCTCAAATCCTTAAATCCTTCCTGCAGTCTGAGCTCCTCTCTGTGAGTATAGGAGGAGGCCAAGCTGCTGCAATAAAAAAAAAAGCTGAAGCGTCACCGTAGCACCAAAATATAATACATGCAACATAACGAATATCAGAGCAAATAAGAGGAGACGTACAAAAGTAGAAAATAACTGACTGTAGTTTGTGTAAAAGATCTTAACACCAAACCTGGACAGGGGGACTAAAACATGCAATGGATGATTATTTAAAAAATAACCAGTTATAATGTGAATGAAAATCAGTTGATTTATTTTTAAAAGGCCAAATAAAAAACAGCTGTTTCAAATTCCAGCATTAAAATAAAATCAGTCCCTATATGCATCTGCACTGAAAGGTGGCACAACAAAGCGTTTCTGATTAATATAGAGACAAATATCTGAGGATCTTAATGTATTTTTAAAGAGGGAAATGGTGAAATACAACAGAGGATATGATATTTAAATTGTATGTAATTTAAAACTGAGATTTTCTTCGTTCTACAGCTCTCTGAAGTATAAAACAACACAACACCTTCCACCTTATACTCCTGTAAAGAGCTCTGAATTCAATATGAAGAAGCTTTATTAACGTGAAATTATGATAATCCCACGTGGAGTTGTGCACTCGAGGAGTTAAAGGATACGTGTTAATTAAATATTGGAGCCATAGGTGCTGCATGGTGTGGCCGCTCGTTGTGTTATACGGAGCGCTCTGCTGCCTACCTGCGCTCTGCTGCTGTTATCGGGGTCAAGGCGCGGCTCGCAGACAAGAGGCTTAAGCGGAGACAAGAGCCTTTAACACGGAATAAAACCATCAAAGTTCAGCTCTAATCCCCGCCGCCGTGGATAAGGCTCCCTGTTAACGGGCTGCACAATAAGCTCCGTTTACTCTGGGCGGGATGGCTGCTTTGTGGGAGCCTTTTTTTCCTTCGACTTTTTTTTTTTCTTCTGCAGAACAATTCAACTCAGACAACACAGAGGACAGGATTTATAAAAGAAGCAGGGAGGATTTTCACTCCCAGTGTCCTGCCTGCTTGTTGTAAAAAAAAAAAAAAAAATGAACACCCTTTTCCTCGACAGGGAGACATTTAATTGAATTTGATGTTTGATGTCTGTGAATTACATCAAGCTTCAGAAATTAATTCGTAAGGAGAATTATCCAAGAGTGGCCAAAATCTGGAGTGACAGCAAGTGGTGTCAGAAAGAGGTCAAACAGAATGAAACGGACTTTAAAGATGAATTTAAAATGTGTCTTTCGGTTTAACTCATTTGTAATGATAAGGCCTGATAATCCCGTAAAGCACGTTCGTAGGTCGTAAAAAAAAGACGTTTACGCTATTGAAATACTTTCAGCACCTTGGACAGCTCCACATCCTCCAGCTGTGTTTGACTTTACGTGTTGGTTTTTACATAAAAGAAGTCACTCTCACACACACACACACACACACACACACACACACACACACACACACACACACACACACACTGCGGATAAAGGCTGTAATGCTTTTTAAACACATTTGTAGTAAACAGGAAAGTTATTGAAATACATGTGTAAAAAGTGAGTATTTACGACATTTTGGCGCCATTCTTGCTGGCATACAAATGTATTTTAAACCGTAAAATGATCGAGATCAGATTTGTTTTAAATGTCTCACCTGTTGTGTTAAAATCTAACATAATAATATAAACTTACATCCTATGATATCTGTGTAAAATATTAAATAAAGCAGGGCATTTTAAAATCTTGACGGTGTAATTGGAGAATATCAGGATTCAATCTTCTCTGTTTTCAGGCCTGATGATCCGTCCGTTATTTGGTGTTTTAGGTAAACTGAGAATGATAATATCTGACCTTTATTCTTTCCATCTTTCTGTTCCTTTTGGAAACATTTAGAGTGCGGTAATACTGTCTTTTTGTTGAGATAAAATGAAATAATTGGCAATAGAAAATAATGTAGATGAAGCGTCACTGCACGTTTCTCCTGTTAAAAAAATACTCTCAAACTAAAACCACCTTTTAAAATGTGTATTAGAATATAATATCGTGATGTAAAAAATGGAGCAAATTAAGTTTATGTTGTCAATTAAAGTTGAATCTTTTTTCTATTTTCTTGATATTTTTCAAGGTAGACTTATTTTGAATATTAGCAAGAGATGAAAAACACCCAAGACATCCTTCATATGTGTTCTTCTTTACATACTGCCTGTTTATATAACTAATCAAATGTCTCAAACTGGTCCCTTCACTGGTTTCCAGTTTAACTCGTTGGAGAGTGTGTTCTCTGCTGTCCAGGCAGCCGGACTGCAGACATGGACTTTCGGTTTGTTATGGCGCCCCCGTGAGACGATTCCACTGCATGTGCTGGTGTGTAATCGATGTTTGAGGTGCCAGCGTTCTTCACCTGTCAAATATTTCACTTGAAATAGTTTCAGAAAAGGTTCATTTACACGCATCGGGTATTTTCTTTGACATTTTCCCCCTGAAGTAAAGCCTGACTTTCGCAGGAATATACAGTCGGTGCGTTTTTACGCACAGCACTGATGCGCACAGAAAAGACCAACCTCGTGCAATATTTTGTGTAAAACAATTTTAAAAAAGCGTGACAACAAAGTTTGAATTCCTGCTTAACATTATAGATATTTTCTGCAAGCACCACACGGTGAAATGGCCAAACATCTGCAGTGGAACTGCGTTTTGAAAATGCGCACGTTTGAACCCAGAGCAGTCCTCTAATAGCGAGAAAATTTAAGCAAATTAGTGCTCTCAGACTTTCTGCCAGAGCAGCGTGAGGTGGAAAATGAAAATTTACAAGTACAAGGTGAGCAAGAGCGTCCAACTCACCAGGTAAAGTGCAGGCGTCAGGAGGAACACGGCGCACCAACACGTCACCTGCATCCTCCCGGAGCTCAAAGTTCCACTAATTTCCCTCGGCTGGTATTCGCGGCTTTGCGGACCATAAATCCACCTGGTATCCGGCTCACAACGCGGTCAAGCCCCTCAGCAGCCCAGAAAACATGAACACAACGCACCCCATGACCGCAGAACACAGCTGAGAGTTTGAGTCTGGGGGGCAGGACGGAGGAGCCGGAGAGGATGCTGCTGCTGCTGCTGCTGCTGCCGCTGCTGCTGCTGCGGGTGCAAATGGAGTAAGAGGAGGGTGGGGGCGACAAACAAGACAGCGGTTAGTTGGGAGTTAATCCAGGTAGAGGGAGCAGCGGGGTCATAGCTGAGAGCAGGTTCAGGTCCTGATTGTTGGATAGCTGGCGCGCGCAGCGGTAGGAGCGCTCGGATGTGAAGAGAACGGCGGGGTTTTCCGCTTTATACCGACCGCGCTCTTACAACACAGGCTGTGAGACTCTCGCTGCATGGGGGGAGGGACGAGATGGAGATGGGGGGGGGGAGTAGAAAAGGCTGGAAAAGACGAATAAAACGAGAGGAGATTGGTCCAAGACAGCGCGAGGATGAAGAAAGCGAAGTTTTTTTTCCCCCACTCTCTCTCTCTCTCTCTCTCTTTTTTTTCTTAGAGAGACGCTCGTGAGGGAAAGCGGTTCACCTTGGCTGCTGGTTTGTTCGCTTGATGTAGATGAATGAGCTGACATTCACAACTCTGCTGCCAATAACTCCTGGCACCCCCCTTTCCCCCCCGTCTCCCTCCCTCCTGTACCCCAAACAAGCGAGCCTCAAACCTGAACAAACACAGCACAACAGCTGCTGTTCATGGTGTCATTCCAATAGACCCAATCTCCCTGTGAGAAACCCACTTCATCTCTGCTAACAGCACTAACAGTTTAACGTCTAACAACTGCCCAAACATCTGCTCAACATCTGACACTATGTGGAGCAATTTGACTCGTAAATATAGAAAATTCAGTTGCCAAAATCTCCCGATCATTATGTAGTATTTTTGTAAAAACCTGCTTTTTTGAAACAAGATAAAATATCTCCACTTTTTCCACCCCAAATTACAGATAGTACAGGAAACATTAATACATTTGACTTGCTTTTCCAGGAGCAGAAAGAGAAGAACAGATGAGATTTTGTTGATTCAATTTGTATGGAAAAAAGTTAAAAGATTTAATTTTATAATTCCTTCTTTTTTCAAACTCATTTAGTTGTTTTCCTCTGGCTTGCTTAGTGCAGACTAACCACTAAACAATATGCGCCCGATCCCATTAGTACAAGTTTAGGTATAAACCGTAGACTGTAAGTATTAATGGACGAAGCCTGAGTGACGTCACCTGTCTGCTCCTGCTGGAGTACCATCGATGGCGGTCTCTATGCTGGAAATCCTGTCTCAGCCTAACTTTCAGTCAACCTAACGACAGGCTGAGAGCTGGAGCTGAGGCGGGTTTTAAGCCTCTTGACAAACTGTTACACCGCGCCCACCTGTCAATCATCAGCTCAGCTTCACGCCTTATTGTGAATAACTCTTATCCTTCATTTTTTAAACACCAGAGGTTGCTGCTTGGTATTTAAACACATTCACCTCCATATGCAAACAGACACATTATTGTTTTTGAGTTGTATCATCGAGGAAGTAGCTGCTCGAAGATCGTCTCCTGGTCGCCCAAAGTCTTTCTGCAAAGCATTCAAAGCATCAGCTGTAATCAGAAGGGGTGTAACAAAACAACGATATGGATCTGTGAATCGATTCAATCAGCGACTTTTGTTGAAACAATTATCTTTTTTATGCTGCAGTATTTTTATTTAAAGTGGTTATTGGCGCGGCCCATGTATGGAGGCTGGTCTTCCAAGCTTGCGGCCCGGGTTCGAATCCGGCCTGTAGCTCCCTTCCCGCATGTCATTCCCTACTCTCGCTCTCTCCCTGATTTCTGACTCTATCTACCGTCCTATCTCTCCAATAAAGGCACAAAATGCCCAAAAATAAATCTTAAAAAAAAAATTTTTTTAGCAGGGTAAGATACACTCATTGGAAAATACTGACATTTCTCAAGTTGATTTGGCGTCTCAGCGGGGTCATAATGACGCTTATATAACTTACAAAAAGACACATGTAGAGACTGAGAAATCACGACGGCCCAAACTGTGATTATTTAAAATTCATGTGATTTTCTTTTTTAAACGCTGGCTAAAGATGGTGCTGTTATTTCACACATTCACATGGTAAATGTCAAGATGTAAAGCTGCTGCATTTACAAACAAAACAATTAAACAAACCAGAAAGGATTCTCCAGTCTTACACAAAGAGATTATTCAAAAGTCAATATTAAAGAGCTTCATGTTTGGATTTCTGTCCACACATATGAGTCATTCCCTTGATCATTGGTTAAGTCTAAGTCTCTAACATTACAACAAAAGGCCATATATTCTCAAACCTCTGCTGTGTGGCCTTTAATATTGGTCATCCTTTCCAATGGAAGGCTTGATAGCATTGGTCTGGTCCAAAGAGTCGTGCTCCGTCTTTGTCGTAAAGCCAAAAAAGCTGAGGGTCAAGTATAAGTTTGATTTTGAAATGATCATCTCCATTATACGTCCCCCCTTTATTCCAAACATTTGGATTATTCTGGGATCAGAGTGGATTAAGAACAACAAACTTCACACACAGTTTTTTTGGGAGCTCTGAGACTTATTTAAACTGGTTGAAGAGGAGGAGAATATATGAACTTTAAAAGTAACAGATTGTTCCATTTATTTTAAGATAATTAGATTAAATTAATTCTAATCGTAGGCTGACATCTTGATGTTTGATTCCATCCTCCAGGAGTCCTTGGGGCCAACATTGTGCTCATATAAGACCCCGCTGTGTGCAAAGAATCCCAGAACAAACTAACAGTTGACAAATGTTTATAAGAGGTTTGCTTTATTTTAGTACGTTTGTTGTTTTCCTATTTAGATTTATGTTTCTTGTGTTAGAACATGATAACATAAAGACCCTCAATGATGAGCGTAAAGACGTTCACCTCCTCGGGGTCTTTGTCATTTATGCTTCACTGTTTATAGTTTTAATTGTACTGTTGTGGAACATTTAAATACATTAAGCGTCATTAATTACAGTATGCACGGTTATTGTGATTCAGGTATAAAGGGCTCACAGGGGCCCTGCAGAGCCCTCTGGGGTCCTACCTGGATGATAACGCAGGTTTGGATCAGCAGGACACTTTGGACGTGTACGAGTGTCACATAATGTCAGAGAGACGACACAGAGTGGTGTTGTGCTTTAGTTGTGCCAAACTAACAGAATTAATAGTAAAAGTATGCACAGTAAATCCTTACTCAGTTTGTCTGTTTATAAACTATCCATGTTGCCACCTTAAAGTCTTTTTTGTTCATCATGATTCCCATAAATACATCTTTACTCTCAGGCTGATGCCATTTTTTCTGGATAAACATTTTTACCATGTTGGAAGATAAACTAATGAAAAAACAACAACACATGTTTTTGAGGAGGACTGCGATAGCCTTGAATTTTTGTCATGCACCCCATGTGCAGAGGCTATAATCTTTGTTGCAGCGGCAGTGGGTTTAAATCCAACCTTGGCCCTTGGCTACATGTCACCTCCCCCCCAGCTCCTCCCAACACTGTGTCTCATTGTTTTGCTTATCCAATAAAGACAAAAAGGCACAAAAAACAAACGTTTATTTTTAATGAAAAGGCTTGAAAATATACCAAAAACATCCTCTCTTGTTTCATCTCTTGTTTCAAAATGTTTTTTTAAGAGGTGGTTAAAGCGTTATAGCCTTATGAAGCTTTAAGGTTTCTTTCTAGTTGTGTTGAGCTTTGGTATCCAACCTCTATCTCTTCGTTCAATGGTACATTTGAGCCAGTTGATTTGTAATGAAGTGTTCCCATGAGGTAAAGCACCCCATGGGCCTTTCAAGGGGCATAAGGGTCATGTTCAAGAGTTAATGTGGCAGGGCATCTGTGTCCTAGTGGACTCGCTCCATGTACAGAGGCTGTGGTCCTTGATGTGACGCCCTGGGTTCGAGTCTGACCTTTGGCTCCTTTCCAGCATGTCATTCCCCTCTGTCTCCCTCTCTCTCTCTCTCTCTCTCTCTCTCTCTCCCTGATTATGGACTCTATCCACTGTCTCTACAATAAAGCAATAAAAAGCCCCGAAATAAATCTTTAAAAAAATAAGTCAATGTGACGACACATGAGCAAATTTAATTTATTGATGAAGACAATCAGATGTGGTTAGAAACCTGGATAATGCTGTTAAACAGATCTTTATGTTAACACTCATTCTCTCTCATTAAACGAAGCGGTATCATCGAAGAGTACAACTGGACGTCCAAATTTGTATCACAGATAAACAGCAAAATAAATAACTAGGTGTGTGTGTGTGTGTGTGTGTGTGTGTGTGTGTGTGTGTGTGTGTGTGTGTGTGTGTGTGTGTGTGTGTGTGTGTGTGTGTGTGTGTGTGTGTGTGTGTGTGTGTGTGTGTGTGTGTGTGTGTGTGGGGTGGGGGCGGGGGGGGGGGCAGCACAGCACAAGGTGACTGCAGCCTGCTCCGTGTGTTTCTGGCTTACAGATAGATGGATAGGATCCTTTTTGTTGAGGAGCAGGTGGGGAGAGGGGAGGCGGGCTGTAGAAGAAAAGACAGGAGGGGCTGAGCTTTAATAAATCCCAGCAGTCTCATTGCTACAACATTGCGGTGGTCAAGCATCGTGGCCATAACTCAGCCAGCGGGGCTGATGGGATCCTGCTCTGAATGGCCCCGATAGCCTTCACAGGCTCCGGCATGGCAGCAGTGGTGGAGCGGGCGGAGATATATCACCAGAGACCGGCTGACGTCCATTGTGGCTGTAATGAAGCACCAGCTGGTCTCCGGGAAGCTAAAGGGCCCGAACTTCAGCAATCTTTTTTTTGTTAATCAGGGATGTAAAAAATCCAGATAGCCTAAAGTTAAACTTTCATACAGCGATGCTCCATAAGACCAGTTTGGGTCGGGATGAAGAGGGAACAAGAGCAATTAAACTTGAATGTTTTTCAATGGAATGAAATGTAAGCATGACTTACCTCCTCTCTTCTAGTCACTTGTACTACAGTAGCATTGATAATTTATTGCATGTGCTGCCCAAAATCGGTGGTTTTGAGACCATTTCTGATAGAGTTTAAGAAGATGTACGCTTTTGATCCATATTTAAATATACTGTTAAGATGCTGTATGTCCAAACTAAACCTCTGCAAAAAGAAATGTAAACACAGATACACAGTTGTTGGCGTTATCCCCACACGTGATTTACTGCTGCTCTGAACGGGACGTTATGAGAAAAGTTGTAGGACCCCGGCAGCTCCTTCAAGTGCACGCCCAGCCGGAAGCTAACTCATATTTCCCTGCACAGAGCTGGCCAATCGGAGGAAAGTAGGCACAGGGAACTGTTCAGG